TTTTGCTTTTCACTGTCTAACTTATTAACCATTCAATAGGTGGCGCTATCGTCCCAGCTGCGGCTCGTAAACCACATAATTGCTATCCCGCTAAACTATAAGACGCTGCCCACAACGAACGTTTGCTGCACAGTAATGCTATTCCCTTCCCCTCCGCTATCACGTTAACCGTAAACTATAACGGTCTAATGTCTAGAGAAGCGTGCGTGGTCTTTGTCTGGGCTACGCGAATAGCGTGACTGTGGATGCACGAGTACTGCAACTTTTACTGAAATCAAGAAAAAGAACTCTACCAATAATAACTGAAACAGTTTTATCTTTGCTAACGCATATTTTCTGCTGCTAAATAGGCATATTTTAGTCATGCGCAAATCTCAATAAAACTCACGACGTCAATGCCCCAAAAAGTGTTCAAAATGCCTGCCATCGTTAGCAACGCAAGGCATGAACCACTCTCGCGTTGACTCGATGACTGGGCGCACTACTTCAGCAGGAGTACTCGCACAGACAGATGCTATTCTCTCCTTCATGTCATTAACATCGCTGCCTAGACAACACAAATACAACCTCAGGACATCCTCAGTATGCCTTCGTGAGGACAACATGATGACCTCAGATTGTCCTCTTAATTCCGTCCCCTTGTCCGTACACATAACAACCTCAGCACATCCCCCAAAACAACACTTCAGGACTTTTTCAGTATCTTTCCAGAGCAACGGTTGCGTGGCTGGCTCGGTACTGTGGGCAGTGATTATACTTAGGATTTACTTCTTTTCATGACATTTCCATACACCAAAAAAAAAAACACCTGCGAGGTCTCGCGTATATATACTGTATCAATCAAGAGACAGGTGACAGTGCTGGACTGTTACATGAAAACAAACAAAGCTTGTTGACTGAAATTTATTTATTTGACAGTAATTAGTCACAACTGACAGCTTTGTCAGGCATTCGAGTCCGCGTATAGTCTGAAAAAATAAAGCAGTATCAAGGCAGTCAACATCGCTCAATCAACCACGTTTGTAATCTTCCTCGAAAGTTTGACACAGTGTCCTCATCACCACGTGTATCGTGCCCAATGCACTCATTAGTGTTTAAGGCTCCGCTCCGAAAGCCTACCAGTACACTCGAAACGGGCGTTGACTTTCCTTGTTCGAGGTCGGGCCATGTGTCAGATGCAAAAGTCGACTCTTTTATGTTGGGACCACGCTGCTTCGAAGCAATTGATCGTGATTGGCTGGTGTTTCAGGCTGCTTCGAATCACACGTCGCCGCGGTCGGCTAGTGACAATACATCCATGATCAGTCTGAACGTTGAGCAGCCCAGTGCACCACCCATCAACACGGCAATTTACCTCCCGTTGTCACCTACGACTTACACTCTCACACATATCTCACTTTTAATCATGCACACAAACAACAAAGCACAAGAACCTTCACTAGTACAATGACTGCACCTTCCTTGACAGAGCCGTTTTGACAGCCCATTGGCTTGCAATGGCTTGGCTACTTGACTATCCAGAATGGTACCTCATGGCCAATGGTTGGCAGCTGCTAGTTTATGACGCGCTACAGCGGCTTATAATGACTTATTTAAGGCTGTGACATTTCAGAACACTCTGTTTCAAATGGACATTTCGCAATACCAGGTTCAATACCTAAGCCAATTAATTACGCGTGTCTCAAAAAACGGAACGCGTAATTCGAAAATTTTGTGACAAAAAAGAAACAAACAAGGCGAAAATAAAACTTTATAGCTGTATGAAACGAATGTGTTGAGAAAGTTTTCACATATGAAATGCATCTACTTGGTGCGCAATGGTCTTGAGGAATAATATCCAAGTGCTCAGTGCATTGCTTTTTGCATCCCTAAACGGTTCTTGACAGGAACTTTTCCGGACCAATTGTTGTCCTCAGAAAGCACTTGAAAATATGCTTGAATCGGCACTAGTGCATAGCTTTTGTCCTCTCCAAAACGTCCTTAAAATTAATTTATCAGGATAAATTGTCCTCGGAAAGCACTCGAAAAGACGTTTCCGGGTCAAACCCAGCTTATGTTGTCCTCAGTAAGTACCAAGGTCAATGAGAACTGTGCGAGGATGATTGTACCGTATGAGGACGATCTCAGGACATCGAGTGTTGTCTGGGTGGTCTCTGTTACGTATGCTCAACCTTTAACGTAGCCCCAAAGGAAAACGTCGAGCGGAGAAAGGTCAGGAGATCATGGTGGCCAAAACATCGCTCTTGTGCGCCAAATCCACTGTTGTGGAAAACATCTGCCCAATCATTTCTTCGCCCTGGTAGAAATAGCTTGTGGTGCTTCACCGTGCTCAAACCATATTTGGCGCTGGTCATTTAGGACAAGATTGCAGACAAGGTCATCAATCACAAAACGTAATATTTCTTCTGTGCACATCTTTCTGTTCAAGTTGTCCTGAAAAAAGTGAAGTCCGATCATTGTGTCCCCGAGTATGCCGCACCACACATTCACACACTAGCGAACTTGATGATTCTGCTGCCTCAGCCAGTGTGCGTTTTCTTGTGCCCAATAATGAGCGTTGTGAAGATTAACACTGCCATTACGGTAAAAGCGAGCTTTATCAGTCTAAAATAAGCTGTACTTTTTGAAAAGTCATTTGATCAGTTTTGGTGAGGCCTCAAGTACAGAAGCCGATTCGCATTTCCAAGTCCGGCTCATTTAGGTCCCGATGAAGGTAAACTTGATATGGATGAAACTTGTGCTTTCTTAAAACATTTATGACTGTTTCAACGTTGCGACCGAACTTATCGGCAATCTGTTGGACGCTGAGCTTTGCAATTGAGGTTACGCACATGACAACGTCGATTTCAGTCTTCATCGATGACTGCCTTCGTGGTCCTTCTTGAAAGGTGGACAGAGCCTGTTGTGCAAAAGAGTCGAAATAGGTTTATGAAAGTGGGCCGTGTTGGAAGGGGACGGTGTGAGTGGCGAGACGCGTAAAGCTACATCGCTAACAAAGCGTTGCCATTCATTTCAGTCATTGCAAGCACCACGTCTACTTTTTTTTCGTAGAATACCGCATCCCAGAAGCAGCCATATTAGCACGAAAGGACTCCACGTCGATTGCCTTGGTAGATCTTCAATGCAGAGACTCTGTGCTACCCGAGGCACCCTAGTACTGAACGGTCAAGCTAACATGTTCACAAAAAGATGTCTCCGTGTGATGAAAGGTCACGAAAAAACGTCGCGAAAAATGGCCTCCTGTTATCGCGCTCATCAGGGTCATGCGTAAGGCTGATGGTGCACCACGCTGTCATATTTTGATTTCACTGACTGAGAGGGCAAGTGTAATTGTTATCATGTATGCCTACGCATCCACTATCTTCACAAGCTAAACAGCGCAAACAACAGATGCGTCACTTTAGGGAGGAGCTTTGCGCTGAGCGTCACCCTCTTGCATGCGTAATCACGCGAAAGGCAATTAAAATTTAGTGCTGGCTATCTCGGAGCGCAAGCGTGCGACAAAAATCTTCCAATTGAAACTCTGTGCAAACGCCACTGCCTACATTTTTTCAATAGTAACATATCAACTTATCGCAGCCAATAAAACGGTAATTATTAAATGTCGGTTAATTGGGCTGCTGACAGCGATAAATAAAATCAAACTTTCTGTCCCCCTGGCCCCTTAGCCTGTTTGCACAAGTGGTTCTTGCGTGCCTTCGAACTTCTACATTTAAACAATCATAAAGCTTAACTTTCAACACCTGGTGTATATATAGTATACGTCGAACAAGATTTAAAGTGCCTTCACGTTGGTCACGATTTTCTAGGGCAAACATTTTTTTCTTGTTTGTTGGCTGTTTGGCTCTTTTTTTATGGTGGCAGCGTCACACAATAAGTGCAGTAATACTAGCGCCAAAAGCGTCGTCTGCCGGCCGCAGGACTTCTGTTTAGGCGGTGCTGCCTTGCTTGGTAAGTGGGTTTCTGAGTCCATCTGGACGCTGTGCCGCATTTGTGAATAATTTTGATAACGTAAAGAAGGCAACGTTTAGTATTTTCTAGTTATCAATTATGAAACACTGTGAACTGTATCAGCGGAAGAGAGAAAGTAACAAAGGTAAATATTGGTTAATCAGGAAAAGGCACATGCGTTGAATCCTATAATGGGTTCAAAGCATGTGCCTTTTCCACGCGCAGACTAAACTAAGTGTTCACGCGTGGACTAAACATATAAAGGTATGCAACACTTTGTGTTCTTCGAGAGAAAAAAATATTACAGATAAAATGATTTAGAACGGTTGCTTGTTCGAACGGAACTAAGACTTCAAGCAGAAACAACTGAGGTGTATAATAAAAAAAGCACCAAAAGTAACTGGCTTAAGAAACCACGGGTTAATAAACCACCCCCGATTATATCGAAACACTTATCCTATGCTGTGAGCTGTCATGGTTCTCATTCTAACATGCGAAGCTGACACGTCAGCAAGAATTTGATAAATAACTCTATTCGGCAAATATCAAAACTAATTGTGCTACGTACACAAAGTACAATTCATCGTCATCTGGCCTTTGACTTTAATGATTCCACTTTTAGTAATGCATTGGCTTTCCGCCGCGTTATTACCCTCATTTTAACAAATGTTTTACGAAACGCACCAATACTTCAATAGCGAATCTTTCGTGCCTTTTCCTCAAAGCTTTTTTGCTGCTAGGTTGGTGACCACATTCTAATTAGCTCAAGTGGCTTCCTTTGCGCTGGTGTTATTAGGCGGGTACTAATTATTTCTTTCTTTCAAGCTTTCAGGCCATATTTGTATATTATAATAAATACCTGATTTTGTGAAAAAATATTTTTCATACTCTTCAATTACTCAAAATATTATAAGCAGTATAAAATAGTATGATAATACACGCAATTTAGAAAAAAAAGGGCTACGGAAAACAAGACACTGATACCAATGAAACGAAATACATGACGACAAACATGTGGTGTTGCTCATTTTACTTGGGTGTATATGCAGCTGAAAGGACCCACTGGTACAACGAGGGCGCCAAGGGCATCGGTGAGCGGCTGCAACGCCAGGCCAACATGGGGCGCGCGCGCAACGTGGTGCTCTTCCTGGGCGACGGCATGGGCATCTCGACGGTGACCGCTGCGCGCATCTACAAGGGTCAGCGGCTGCACGGCCAGAGTGGTGAGGAGCAGCAGCTCTCGTGGGACAAGTTTCCGCACGTGTCCCTCTCCAAGACGTACGGCCTGGACGTGCAGACGTCAGACTCGGCGAACACGGCCACTGCTTACTTGTGCGGCGTCAAGGCGAACGTCGAAACACTCGGGGTGGACTCTCGCATCAAGGTTCGTGCGCACCACCCGCCGATGGCCCTGGGAAAAAATTGGCCCTGTATCTGCATGTTACACAGCAAATGTCGTCGAAATACGATAGTCGTGCGTCCGGGCAGAGTGAACGAAACGTTTGTTTGATGTTCTCTGCAAGAAACTCGGTGAATGGTATTCCGGAGGCGCTGCGTTAGAGTGCCTCCAGCGTGCAGCAGAGGCGAACGAGCACACTCAAGTCACGTCATACGTGAGACGTGAGCGCTATCTGGCAGATAAAAAAACGAAGCGCGCAGTGTGTGCACCCGTGTCCGAGGTGATAACGTGTAGAACGCAAGGCGACAGGTAGGTGCCACCATCGTGTCGTTTTAGCAAAGCGTTGTACACACTTGCCTTTTAGTGCAAGCGTTGCATGGTGAGCGCAGCGTGATAAACGCTACGGTCCTCAGAATTACTTAAGTATGCATTTTCTAGTAAAAGACACACATACAGAATATTAATAATGACGTGTTGTTATGGTGCTTGAGGTATGCGCAATAATAGCTTTTTATTTGACAATCGCACAAGTATGAAAGCTGAATCTTGAGCAATATTGGTGAGCGCTGCGGATGGGTTCGGCCGTTCGGGCTTCCGTTTGGTGCCGTTTGGGTTACCGTTAAGGGCGGACAAACAGACAAATGTAGAAACAGACAGACCAAAATTTTTGCGTTGAAGGTCCCCAATAAGGACTATCGTCTTTAAAAGTTTTCACTTAATACACAGTTGTGTGGTGGCTCTTGAAATAGCCTTTTCTGGTCGCAGAATGACGCTACGCAGGGCTCTGACGAATTCTGCCATTTCGGACAAATATGTTGGGCCATGCTCACGCTAGCAGGCACGGGAACATTGCTTTAAAAAAGCTTTTTCTTCCTGGCACATGCAGAGGGGTCTGTGTCAGTTTAGTACTCCAGAGTGCATATGGGCCTTCTGGTAGAAAGGGGCAATATGAAACTGGCAGGCCTGTAAACACAAAACCAATTATTATTTCAAAATTGTGACTTCTAATTAAGACGCCATTCAATGATCGCAGCCTAATACAAAACTTTAACTTCGTTGAAAGGCCTATATCTGAAACCTTCCCTTCGTAGAATACAGAGAGTGCTAAGCCAGCTTAACCTTGGCTAGACTCGTTGTGAATGATTAAGATACACAGCTTTCGCAAGCTGACAATACAAGACGGTGTTATTTTTATGATACCAGCCGCTAAACAGCAGGTAAAGATAGTACGCGTACACACTTGGTGGTTCCCGCTATGGCATCTGCTGAGAGATGCTTCAGCGTCTTCTTACACGTAGGTCGCACATAATACTTTAGAGGTTGGGAGAGAGAGAGAGAGAGAGAGAGGAAATGCAGGGAGGTTAACCAAGCTTGGCTCGGTTGGCTTGGGAATTTCTTGTGCGTCACTGCGGGAGAGTTCTAACGGTGGTGTTTTGTCATTTTTGTTTTAAACATCTTTGTGAAACGTGGTAGCGGCCCACCACGCCAAGTCGCTCACCTCGAGATTTTCCCAACGGTGATCCATCTAGGTTTACAAGCTCACTTAGGTGTGGGTCTGTCTATCCTCTGTTGGTGTATGTAGCCACCAGTGGTACTTACCCGTTCTAGAGCTGGTATGTGTCACATGGGATGCGATATTGGAGATGACAGTACTTGGAGTATTCACTAGATGGACGCTTAGACGGACGCATGGATGGACGGACAGACAAACTAGCAGATGAGCGGACGAATAGATAGACGCGGGGAGTGGATGTGCGCCACGGGGCATGCGAGATGACGGTACTTAAGAGTGTTCACTAGATGGACGCTCGGATGGACAGACAGACTAAAAGGTGGATGGACAGATGAACGGACGCGCGGAAGGATGGACGCATGAACGGACGGACAGACGGATCGACGGACTCGCATACAGACTCATAGACGGATGGCCGGACGCATGGATGGACACACGGATGGTCACGCGGACGGACGGAAGCACGGATGGGCTGATGGACGCTTCGGCCCATTGAGTTTCCTGAAATTAACTAGGGGGACTCTGGCGCTGCGATCGTTCAGCGACCATGGGAATGATGGGTAGTACACACATCTGCCTATAGTCTTCGTACTTGTGGGCGACGAATCGTACTTGCGGCTTCGTTTATTGTTGTGTTTCGGTTTCGTTTTGAAAGAAAGATTCAACCATTTTCAATATCGTGACCTGATTTGAAAAAGTAAGTCGAAAAGAATAAGGTGGTGAAGCGCAAACACTGAACATTTGCTAATATTTCTTTCGTAAGAAAACAGTTCCAAGCCACACGAACCCACACGGAGCCAACAGCAGGCCAGAAGTGCGAATATTAGACAAATATGTGTATTATCCATCATTCATTTGCTCGCTTAAGTGCCGTGCGTGGCAGCTACCATGGACACAATCGCCAGAGTTCCCCCTAGTGTATATTACAAAACTCGATGCTTCGCCCCACTCATCATCATTCACTCCGTGGATATGCTATGTCACGTCTTTGATGATGTAATGGGCGATATTCACGTATAATTCACAGTTTAGCAATGAAACCCTCCAATGCTTTTACCTGCTCGTCATCATTCAATCCGTGGATATTCTGTTTTTTTTTTCTATTGACGTCAGTACTCGTACATACTTTCTTGCTTGGGGGCTCTGCTCTAACTACGCTAAGTGAAGAGCTTGTCATAGTGTGAAATTTTGTTCAAGTTTGCTTTTATGTTGTCTTCCAAACTATAGCGGCAGTCATAGGCGTAAGAGCGGGGGGGAGGGAGCAAGGGGGGGGGGGGGGCTTTAGTTTTTCCACCAAGATTAGGTAAGTGGGCTGAGCCCCTCCCGCCACTTTCGACAGTGGTCAGTGTTGGCTGCATGCTGGGGAAATCTACAATTAAGGCGAAATTTCTTTGAACACAGTAATTGCTGGGTAATAGTGTTACGAGGAACTAAACTATTACGAGAAAGTGTTGCATATAATAAAACATTTTCAACAATTCTGTTGTGAAGATTCTCCTTGAAGGCTCTTTGCGGTGCGGCCACTTGACGACCCTTTCGCGCCCTGTGCTGTAGCATTGCAGAGCAGGCTAGCCCTGAACAGTGCCCTCTAACATGACATCGCTCGCTCATGTTTTTATTCTGCTGTACCTAGCCACAGGGCCACAGATGGGAATGAGCAAAGTTTTTTATGGACCAGTCAAAACGTTTGCTGCTTCACGAGATCGACTTTATATCATCGAAAAGATATAGCATCACCGCTGCTCTGTCGAAAATATGAGAGACTATGAGTGTGATAAATTTTTTTCAATGTTTGGTTTTGCCGCAACGAAAGAGTAAAAAAAAGAGGTTCGCACTTCAGTCTCCAATAAACCAAATCAGTGATCAGCCTTGCTCATGGTGCCTTGTAACGGTGGCATCAGCTAGCAAAGTGGCGACGAATAAAGCAATGGATTCAAGCAGTGGGAAGCTCAGCTTTTAATCTTTCCCTGAACTTGATCCTACAAACCAGGCAGATAGTAAATGTCAGCGTTTTTTTTTGCACTTAGGAGATTTATCTAGGAGTCGGGCTAGTTGGTTTTCATTCAACTTAAATTGAGTTTTGTAGCTCCCCGTACAACTCTCACAGCAAAGGAGCACACTCGTTCAGCGCTGCTTATTCATCTCCCTTTGTCTCTCTCATTCAGCAAGCACGATTTAATTGTACTTATGCAAAGAGTTGTGAGGTGATGCATGAAAAATCACCGCCATTTCCACAAAGTGATTCGATGTGAGAGGCACTTGCTCGAAGGTAATCGCGCAACCCGCGAAACCTTCGTTCACATCTCCCACCACGATATATAGACGCGGCAACGTTGGTATATATCGCAGCACTGCCCATTAGCATGTTCCTGGGAATACCCTATAATTTGAAGTGGAAAACTGTGTCTTGCTCGCAATTTTTTCATGCACTCATAACCATAACGTACATGTGCCTATGTAAATAATAGTGACATAATATGTGCCATATTTACGACCATAATAGTTTAGCACGTGTAGCACGTGTTGGCGGCCGTCACGTGTATATATATATATATATATATATATATATACACACACATTGTAGTGGGGAATTCGCAAGGCACTGACTAGTGGGACCATCTCTCTCTGAGTGCGAAGCGCGAGTGTGTGCACGAGCTGTAGACGCTGGACTGTTCGAGCATTTCTGTCCGTACCGGCTGCCTGCTTACTACCTGGCGTTGCTATTAAACTCCCTTGCAAAGTGGTAGAGGTGCTGGGTACGCAAACCAGGAACTTAGAAGCCGGAAGCTGCCCACTGCATCAGCGATGCCTGATCAGACGACCGAGCAAGGCACCACCCTGCAAAGCACAGCACGATTTAAACTCGTCATCGTACCTACCACCAGAGTCCTCTACCACCTTGCGCCAACAGGATCCCCCCTTCTTCAGTGGCACCGAGGACCAAGATGTGGAAGGCTGGTTGCAGCTGTTTGTAAAGGTGAGCGCCACCAACAAATGGGACGACCCCTCGAAATTGGAGTACGTTCCATTTTATCACAAAGGCGTCACCAGCCTGTGGTTCACAAACCACCATACTGAATTTACCACTTGGGCCACTTTCAAGACCACCCTTGCAGCTGTGTTCGATCGCCCCACAGTGCACAAGCTGCGTGCTGAACAGCGCTTACGCGGGCGACCACAAAGGCAGGGCGAAAACTTCACTAGCTATATTGAAGATATAATCGATTTATGCTGGTACTTTAACCCTGAGATGACCGAACAAGACAAGATCAGGCATAACTTGAAAGGAATAGACGATGATGTCTTTCAAATGTTGCTGGCAAAGGGCCCAAGTACCGTATACAAACTAGTGACTTGTGCCAGAGCTTGGAAGAGATTCGCAAGCAACGTGCATAAGTTCGGAGGTCGACGACAGCAGACGACTTTCTCGCTGCCCAGGCCTTCGGTGGTAGCACCCTGCTGGAGCAGATAAAAAAATACGTACGCGAGGAGGTCGCAC